GGGGCATGATTGGATATAGTGGAAAAACTGTGCACAATTTGTTTATTTCCATTAGTTTCAGTGGATATTTTTTAGAACAATCCCCCCCCCCCCCCTAATTAAAATTTGTTTTTTTTTCAACATTTTCCACTTTCAATTTTAAGAAGACATATTTTTAAGACAATAATACAACCACTTATGCTTATCATTTGGCCTGGTGTTTAAAATCTTTGGATACGCTATGTGTCAATCCATATAGCCAGAATAATTCAAAAGGGTTAATTACAAGTAGAAAAAGATGCATAACACACTGACAACATAAACACAGATTCTTATTATAATATGTCTGAGAGAAGCAATACTTTGTTAATTGCTGAAAACACCATCTAATTATGTAGTAATGTGTGTTATTAAAAAAACAATTCTGCAAGAATATAAAATCCAATAAACCTAAGTTTACTGGAGTAAATTGTTAGTGAAATATGTTGTTACCACAGACGGAATACTGTAAACTATTTTGTTTTCACACAAGACACATTTAAGACAGATTTGTGAATCTGGGAGAGCTGTGAAACTTTTCAGTATTAAACAGTTTTTTGGGATTCTCAACACAGTGAGTATCACTAACTTTTATACTGAATTTTGTACACAAGAAAGGCATAAAAATGGCAATAATAATAAATAAATAGAATTACAGCTGTTGTTACAAAAGCTGTTGAGTAAATTTAAGTATAGCACCCTAGAATCTGTAAAGTAGATGATAGTCAATAATAAATTCAGATATAACAATTATGAACAGCTTTGGAATAAATTAGAACTCAAAATTCATGATAGTTGAAACCAAGTGAGATGATGTAAAACACCCAAGAACAAAATAAACCCCTACTTAGTGCAATAATATATCTACTTATGTCTGAAACAGTTAACAGTAGAAAAAGATGCATAACACATTCTTTTACTGCTATGCTACACATGGTATTAAACACCCTGTTGCTATACACCACACTAGTATAAAATGACCGACAATATGAGTTCTCTCAGCAACAGAAAATCATTTGAATAAAAAATAATCTGAAGACGCCAAAAATAATGGTGGGAAAACTGAACTCAAAGAAGTGGCAATAAACTACAGACAATTGTGACTATTTATCAAAGTAAACTATATTTTAACATTCCATAAAATTTATGATATGATACATTACCATGGTAACTATCATTTTTAAGATCAATAATTCAATGTTATTGACAAGGATCAGAGAATTAATTGAAAAGAATGTTGACCATGAGTGCCAAAGAGATACACAGTATAATTACTAAAAAATCATGATCCAATAATCTTCTATTTTCTAGTCACTAAATTACACATATTTTATGAAAAACATAGCTGAATAATTGTAATTGATATACATTACAATACAATATAAAGTTTGAGGTCACAGTTGAATGGAACACCTTAATATCATGTTTTAATCACTGGTCTAGGTACTATGAGCTTAGCTCAAAGATCTACATTCTGAATTTTAATTTCACAATACATGCTAATCCATTACAACCAATCCAATTTAGAGTAAAATGCAATTTACTCTCGCTGCAAACATCTGTATCAATTTCTTTAGTTTATGCTTTTTTTCGCAGTCTTGAGAAGCAATACTACAATATTGCTAGTGAAACAGTATTGCATGTTGCAATAAAGTCATTCCATTCTTTCTTGCGATGAGAGTGGATTCTTTATTTAGGAAATGTTTTATTAAGCATTTAAAAAATACAAACTCGGGCTCTGTTAATTGTGCACTAACACTAGAAAAGTATTACATAACCTACCAGGAATCAGGATGGCAGTGCAATACACTAATGTGTTATTACTAATCTATATAGTTCTACTAAATGCTTGACCTCATTTTATTACAGTACTACTAGTACTACTTTACTACTAATAGATATGCACTTCAATATTCTAATGTCCCAGCCATCATACCTCTAATGGGTAATTTTTAAGCTTTCCCTCTGCAGTTAAAAACAACTTTTGAATAACAAAATGAAAACGAAAATAAAAACACACACCTGCATTGATAATGGAAAACAGATCAGAAACATGACAAAAGCAAACAATTATAATACAATTAGCTACTTACATTGTTTTTCTAATTCATTTGTTTTCTCTGGATCTACTTCTAACAATTCTATATGATCTCTAAGAATCCTGGCCCATTTGTTTAACGACTCCATAATTGTCCAGGGTCTTGACATATCCACAACAAGCATGACTAGTGTATGTTCTAAACTATTTGGTGTTAGGGCAAATTTTAAAAGGCGTTCAAGCCGAGTATCCCCGTCCAAAATCCAAACACCACATCTGGTAACATCTAAAATACAACAAAATAACACTAGTTAGTGACAAGCTAAATATATATACATACTCCTACTGTACTGTAAACATGCATACTTTGAGCAAGGTAATTTGAACTAGAGCAATATTGCCTTCAACTCGCATGAACTTTCTTTTCAAACATGTTTGTAATTCTTGTAAATATCATGTTATAATGATTTCCTAATAATGTAGGATTCAGATACACACTGCAATACCACATGTAACATTGTAACTTAAAATACTGTGACAAAAGTAACAAC